TTCAAACACAACACCAAGCACAGAAGTAGTAGTTGTGATTGGAGTCCAGCCATGTTGTACGACATCATTTTGAGCTAATAATCAAAAACAAATCATTTGATGAAAAAATGTCTTTGTTTAGTAATTAATGACTATAGTTCTATACTGCCCGGCATAAATTCACTTTAGCTACCCAGMATGTTTTTTAAATTTTTTTTATCCAATCATAAGTATTTCAACGAGTTAAGAACGATGGTGTGAAAAAAAATTTGGTGAAAACATTATTTTGGAAGTTATAGCCTTCCAATGTTTGCGTTTCACATATTTGTGTAACATTATTTTAATGCCCCACAGAGTAGACTTTTGCGAGTTGTTTACTCAGACTTTTTTTACCGTTTGATCTTTGGTAGTCTACCGCCTGGAGCCGGTAGGCAACGAGCTCTGTTATACTTGTGTTACTTTAATTAACAAGGTTAAGTTTGTTTGATAGGCGATTTGTCTGCTTGAAAGGCAGTGGTGTTTGTCCCGCTCACGACGCTCAGGTTGGCTATTTTAGACCCGTGGGTTCGGGGGCCGAGCTCCCATCCAACGAGAGGTCCGGAAGACCTTGAGTTTGGTGACCGGAGCCGCTAAGTAAAGAAAAAAATATGCTGGGTAGCTAAAGCAGTACCGGATCTAGGGGGGGGCGATCCGGGGCCCATGCCCCAGGCGCTTATCATAGTGGGGCGCAAATATTATGTTGTGCCCCGGGTTGCATAATTTGTAGATCCGGTACTGAGCTAAAGTGAATTTGTTCCCTAAATTTTCATCTTTTAATGTCGACCAAATCAAAAATAATGATTTCGAACTAGATAAATATATCATTATTTCAACTAACCTGAACGTCCAGTATCGGGGACATTCTTAAAGTTTCCTGGAATCCAGTCTTGATGTTTAATGTACATGATTAGAGTTGTGATGGTCGTGAACTCGCGACTGAAAGAATCAAAATGAACGAATCTGTCGAGTGAGCGAGTGTCCGTTTCGCGACCGAATGTTGTACTTAAAATATTCGGTCAAATCAAAAATAACGATCTTTAGCTCTTTTGGGTTTTGGAGGTTTTTAATAAACATAGAGTAATATGATGGATCAATAATATTAATATTTTTTTATAATATTAAAGTTGAAAGTAATATTATGCTATGCAGAATTCACGAATCATTGAACTATAGAGTATAAATTATAATATTATGATAAATTGATAACTGGAGGGAATGCTTTCCAAGCAGTGTTGCCCGAGAAGGAATGTTAGAACGAGATGGGACATACTAATGTTGTTACTTTCTTTGTCTTACACATGGTCCTAAAATCTTAAATTAATTTAGTGCGGTCCGCGGACYTTAATATTTTATTTTTTAACTTTCACAAAATCTTTATGATTAAATTGATAGAATATGAATTATTATAATTTATAATACCTATAAAAAGTATTGAAATATTAAGCATTTCTTGTGGTTTGTGGATTTCTACATTTGTCATATAAATGTAAATTAAGTTGCTAGGAATTGTTTATTTAATGTTGGAAATAAAATATTAAGTTGTAAATTTAAAGTTAGAAGGTTTTAATTCATAACTGACAACTATAAGCATATAAATAACGAAAATTGGATTTTTATTAAAATAAAAACATAGTATTTATAATATTATWCATAATTGAAAGAAAAGTTACTTACACTACTTACCTGAAGCTTTACCTACAACTTACCTCAATTATTGTTCTTACTACTTTCCTAACTTAACTTAATATTGAAAATGTATAATCTAGCTACGATTTCTACTGGAAAGATCCAGTAAACAGAATCTTCAATAGATTTTTGCTATATTTCTTAGCAAAAACGTCCTAAAGTAAATAATTATTTAAAGATACTATAAGAAATTGTAGAACTTTAACTATAGTCATAACCTTGAAGTTAAATAATGCGTTAAGTTAACGAGGTAACTTTTGTGGAATTAAATCCAGCTAGATATTTTTCCTGTAATAACAATAAAACAATAAAGGGTGATTCTTTTATCAAACAACACTTATATGGTGTTTGTGTGCAAATACCACCTAACATACACCTATAACTCACAAACACCACCCAACTTTGGGAGGCTATATCTTGTAAACGAATTAACGAAAAATGAAAATTTAAACGTGAAAATTCATTGAAAAAATAGCCTTTTAAGTTAATGAAATTTTAAGTGTAGGTTGTCATTTGAAAATTAAAAGTTGATAATGGTTAACCTGATAAATATAAGGGTGAAAATATTTAAAAAATATATAGTTCTAGAACAAAATGGTTCAAAAATTTTGAAAAAAAAAAATTTGAAAAAAGTAAATAGTTTTTGAAATAATGAGTGTTGTTTAATAAAAGAATCACTCTGTATATTAATAAAAATATTTTACATGAAATAAACTAGCAAAATATTCAACTGTATAATTGAAATATGATAGTTGATTTATTACATTTAAAAGCATTCATACAACAATTATTAAATCATAATAAAAATAAAATCATACACCACAAATTAACAATATTATACTAACTTGTGAAATGACAAGTCTTTCCTAACGTCAATTGAGCTAGTCCAATTAAAACCACTACGACATAAACCATCTTAAATTCTTAACTGCTCACGGTTTTACTTTTTTTTAAGTTTGAGTTTAAATTTTACTCTTTAGAAACAAAACAAAACGTTAAAGTCGTAGAATCATTTAGTCGTGTGTGATAAAAAAAGGTAGCAGCACCACACAATAATTAGGAAGAAATTTTTACGCAAAACCAGTTTTTTTACTAAATAGTAAATCGATTTTGATTTTTAGAGTAAATAAACTATCAAAAACTGGAAAGACTAAATTATTAATATGTATCAAATGTTCATAATTACCATTTTCTATACATAAAATACAAAATATTTTTCTTTTTTTGATCTAATTAATAAACATGTAAAATGTTTTTAAAATGATTATTCAATCGCCAAAAGTTGTTCATTTAAATTATACTTAAAGATAGAATTATGTGTATA